TTCATTGGTCATATTGATTTCCTTGCATTATTAAAGATTAAAACTATCTTTTAGATGGTTTGTGACTAAGATACTTGTGAAAATATTTTCCTTTTTTTGTCTGCAAAAGGAGAGTTGTTTTTAATTTATGCAAGATGTCTAATCAAAATAGTGTATAATATACCTCTGAATGAGATAAGGATGTAATATTTTTGGAAGCAATTGCATATTTATTAAACAAAAATAATTTGCCTTTATTTGTTGTGTAAGCATTTATTATTTTCATCTCATTTTCCAGAGACACTTCATTACAATGCTGTTTGTTTTATTGCTACTGCAATATTAAAAAAAAAAATCTCCTGTTACTTATAAATAGAAACTTAATATGGGTTATAGTTCTGAGCAAAATTGAATGTAAACTCTCATTAGATTATGGCACCTCATATGTGAAATTATTAAGGTCACTTATGATCTTATGAACGAATGACCTGTGCATCCAAGAGAAATGGGAAAGGGCAAAGGCAACACAGCTTGTTTTTCTACTGCACCCCATTTGTAGGCAACAGTACGCAGACGAATATACAGTAAAAAGAAACAAAGTCTGAGAGTTAATACCCCAGGCGCCAAACACATGTCTGTGAAAGAGGAATGCGAGCAGACATTTCTATGTGCAGCACATTAATTCCTAATGGGCTTTTTATCTTTTACAAAGGTCAGGTCATTGGACAGAACAGAATCCCATCTCAGCAATGCATTTACCTGCCTGGGTGTGTATGGAGTAATGGCATAGCTGGGTTTCCTTGCTATGGGGTTAACACCCCGCAGTGAGCGATTAATACTTCAGCTGGTAAGACGTGGACAGCTCAGGTCAATCCTATTAATGCTGGTTGTGTATAAATCAGGCTTTTTATGCTGCCAAAGTATTCTCGACCTCAAAGTCCTGGGTGTTCCTGTAACTCTTAGAAGGATGAGATGCTGAAGAAGATGCCTGCACAGGATCATACCCCAGCTGCAGTTTTGTTCATGTGGCCCTTAATTTCCTTTTTAATTGCTGGTGATGTGATGGAAAACAGAAGGTTGATCATTTTAGTCTCTGAAGTTGGGGTGTACCATAGTCATGAAGCGTGGAATCAGTGCAAGCCTTGCCATAGCCTCCACTGAATTTTGCCATGGGAGAAATTGAGCCTGGGCAGAGCCAGTGGAAGGGTCACTAACATGCACTCAGGAGAGAATGGAGTGACGTTGTCGATGGCCTCGCTGCTCCTGAACAAATGCACAAATCATGGCCAACTGCAGGGGCAGTTTCTGGCTGTGGCCATCTGTCCAGCAGAGACCACCAAATCCATACCCGCTTCAGCCACCAAACAACTGAGAAAATGTGTTGGCACCCACAACTGAGATCATACAAGAATCTGTGAGGGTGAAAATAATAAGCAAGTCCTTGAATTCTGGGACACTTCCGGGCCTCTTTTGGGACATGTCTTCCTTCTAAATCAAGAGTTTCTGGTTTCATATACATACAACCAACTATATTATACATAACTGTAGGACTGCAGTTTGCAAATCTGATATGTCAGCATTCCTCTTTGTTTCAAAAGTATTTTTTTCTCCACTAAGAACCACAGAATTTCATAAAGCAGGTTTATGCAGGATTTAAACTATGATTAACAGGTAGTATAACAGTATTAAGTTAACTTTTGTCAGAGGAAGCCGAGTGGAAGAAGACTAATTGAGACTGGAATTTCTCACTGCCTTTGTTATCCAAATATTTGAAAAAAATAAAAACTGATCTTTATAAAAATAAGTAATTTTTTCCAAGGAGGAATTTGGTAGCATAGAGTGCTACTGAGTTTGTTTCAATGACCTCTTATATCTAGATTTCCATACAAATATATAACAGTTTATACAGTTTGTTAGCATGGTGTGAGTATTATAGATATAGCATAACCATGTTTATTATTTATCTTCAATTTTTTCCTTTAATCTTTTCAGAACTATCTGAGAGTTTTAAATGGTAAATGTACCATTTTTCTAGGTGATTCTTACTGAAATCTCACTAGTTTGTACCATGCAGTGAGAATAAAAGTTATGAAAAGTGTAATAAATATACAATCATCCTAGATATTGAGTCAGCTGTGTCTTGTTGACTCTAGTAAGGGAGGATGAGAAAAGCAGATTCTGTAATTTCTGTCAGATATCTTTTTCTCACCCATCATCCCTTTGTGAAATAATGAAGTTTATGCATTAGAAAGGTGCAGGATGTGAAATCTCCAGGTGCTCAGAAAAATGTATTTCAGAGTTATGTAATGAAATCCAATGGGTGGAAATGGCCTTCAGAGGCTATTTCTTTCCTTGAACAACAAATGCTGTCATCAGCTATTTTTGATTAGCCTGTGAATTATGATCCTGTCAAGGTAATAGGGCTCTGGTTACAAATCCAGCAAGTCTTCAAGTCTAGCAACAGTCATATAATCATGAGCTAAACTTGACCACCTGCAGTGGTGTGGGATTATTCTCATGGTCCACAACGAATCGTTGGGTCAAGACTCACTTGTGTAGGACATGCTTGAGTCTTCAGCATCCATGGCATTGGCTGTGCTTGTAATGCTTTTGTTACTGAGAGAAAGCACAGTAACTCCTAGAATACACAGTTTGAAATATTGTGGAGAAGTGAGAAAAGTGGAAATGACAGATGCTTAATCAGCAGAAAAAATATTCAAGAAACTCTTGTTTCTTGGTTACTTTATATGTATATGTAGAGAGAGAACAAAATCTTTTGGGGAATCAATTCAGCATGCTATTCTAGAGGAAAAAATTACGCTAGTATGTAAAAAAAAAGCGGAGAATGAACACAGCAACAATGGATTTGAAACAAATCAGGTTCCTAATTTCCACCTCCAGATGAGACTACTGAGTACACAATGCTCTCTTTAGCATTCAATGTATTTCTTTAGCAATACAATGAGTAGGATAGATTAATATTCATACATCTACTTTTCTTACTTCTAAATATAGCAATCTAAACAGTTTAATTCATTGCTGGTCACACTTTTCAAATATCTAGTAAGAGTTACCTTTTTTTTTCTTTTACCCTCAAGCTTTCCTCTTTCAACTTACATTAGACTCTGTATCTTTTTTATCTCCATTGTTGCACTTTGCTGAATTCCTTCCAATTTGTAGCTGTCATTCTGCTATTGAGGTATCCAGATCTCAGATATCTCCAGATATCCGAGAGATACCAGCACATCCTAGTTCTGTACCAACAGTGCAGAATTACAAGTTTTCAGGCTTATAAACATTTTGACATTCAATATTAACTCAGTCTTTTCTAGTGAGGCTGCTCTTTTTCAAAGAATTTAGTAGTTATTTCCTAAAGGTATTTTTTCCTAAACTGAATCCCACTTGCTGGTTTTCCAACAGAATTTTTTATCTCATGATTTTATTTGTGAACACTAATCCAGTTTTGATGTTCATCTTGCATCTCACTCATCACTAAAAGAGCAACCACCTTTGATGAACATGATTGCAAGGTCTGGATTTCACACCATTTCCAGAAGGGAATCCTGTGCTGCTTACTACTTTCCTCCATGATTTAACCTAGAAGACTAAATACAAATGAGCTTTCCACTGATTCATGGGATATTCACAAACCACCTCCAACTTTTTAGAGCTTCCTAGTCTTTCAGGAGGTTTGCTGTCTACAGTCAATCCAAAGCAAAGTCCAGTACACAAATTAGAAAATAAAGAAAAGGAGCAACTGCTCTCAACTTTGTATTAATTCCTCTTCAAGGACTTGGAGGTGACAGATCCTACTAGCAGTCAAAGCCACCTGTTGATGACTGACCCTGAACTTCAAAGCTGATAGAAAATAACCCCCAAATCCCACCTGGATACCCAGCAGCAGTTGAGCCAGCACTGCCTTTGATGAAGTGCTCCTTTGCTCTCAGTGCCCCTGCAATAATAAAGCTGTCAGCCAACACGGGGAAGCCACAAGCAATGGAGACAGGTATAGCTGCATGGTGAAACGTGTTCCCAGGGATGTACAGATGGCCATGAACCTTCTTACTCTCAGAGCTAAACACAAAATCCTTTCCTTTGATTTTTTTACTTGTCTAAGACCTTCTCATATGCAACAAGCAAGTTCTTCTAGTAGCTGAAAGGGCGGAAAGAGGATTTGTGTTTAAGTATTTTGATTATATTTTGCTATGGTTATGTGGGTTTTATGCTTACCTAAACAACCAGAAACATTAAAAAATACCTGGTTAACCGAGTAATTTAGTTAACATTTCAAGGAAGGTTTAATATAACTGGCTTTTTGGGTGACCATCTTTTTCTACAAATTAAACAATGCAGCTGAGCTCCTCAGCTGACAGAAAAGAGAGCACAGGGCCTAAATCTCAGGACTGCCTGAAACATGCCATCCACAAAGCTGCATGGTTCATGAGGCTGCTGGGATTACTATCCATCACCTCTCTGCTCCCTGCCATTAGGGCCCACTGGGCACTTCACCTGCATACAGGTTAGGACACCAACCATAACCCACCTACCCAGGGAACTGAGCATGGGTGACTCCAGCCTCCCTTGGGGGGAGCAAGCCTTCACTGCTCTTGGGAGAGCAGCTAGCTGTTAAAGGCTGAGCTGAGTCTCTCACAGGTGAGGCTGTTTTTGATTGTGCTGATCTTGCCTTTGTTGTCAGGAGTAAGAATGATGCAACCACTCAGAAATGTTGAAGCAAAAACCCCCTGTCTTTAAAAGTAATTGCTTCCTTGCTTTGTAAACTGCCTACTCTTTAAGCACTACGAATCACTGTAATTAATCCTTAATTCAAGCTGCTGTATCTATGTTACATTGTTGTGTTTACTTAGACGTAAAATGTATTATTCTTTACAAGATAATGGCATCAGTCCACACAGTGTCTGTGACAGGCACAGGCAGCTCTAAGCAGAAACATTAGGTGGAGGGTTATAAAGCTAGTTACATGCCAATATGTTAATTAATTAATCACAGGCATGTTTTCAAAGCATTCTTCATACCTCAGGTGGGGCTCCTGGGCTATTATGAAATGCCAAACTTCCCTTGGGGCTTTGAGGATTGCACTTCTGAATTCCTCAGAAGTTCAGGGAAGTAAAAGGGTATGTTTTTGGTGTGAGTCACTGAAGTGAGGCTGGAGATAAAGATTTTTTTGTTTTGTTTTATAGTGGGGGAGGAGGGCAGTAACCAGCCAGCAAGCAAGTACTTCAGGAAGGAACTAGGTGGAGGGCAAATCTATATTTTTCTAAACATATGAGACTATTTTTTCTGAACACATCTAATTTTTAATTTAATTTTCTCTTTAGTTTAATTTTTCTGAGTTTTCTTCATTTTGAGTTCAACTCCCTGGTATATATCAGCCAGCCTTCTCTCATATTCTGGTTAGAAACCCAGCAGCTTGTGCAGTACAGGGCAAGTGAATATATGCTTCTTGCACAGTATCAAGGACTTGAAAACAATGTATTTTATCCTGTGTTTTCACAAACAAAAAATTCCTGTTTTCTTTCAGCTTGTCTGTGAACCTCTGAGGTACCTGCAAGGCTGTATCTGTAAATCCCCCCACAGCTTCATTTTTTTTGTAATAAAAGAGGAGATGCCTATCAAATAACTTCATTCCATTTCAGTGGAGGTCTAGGGTGGGCAAGAAATACGAGATTTGGAAAAAAAAAAGAAAAAGAAAAGAAAAAAGAAAGTTATACTTTCTTTTTTCATAGGGATTTGCTAATTTTTAAAGGCACACGGCTCTAGATTACGTACGTGTTGGAGCAATGTAATCCAGAAAGGGAAGCTCCTCAACTCTGTAGCAGTCTGGCCAGCCCTGTGCCATGAGAGCAAGGAACAAAGAGATACCTGAAGCATGTCCTTGGTGAGTCTCAGTGGCACCTAAAAAGGACCATGCCAGCTAGAGACTGGAGTGTGTCGGAGACCTGAAATGGGCCCTCAGCAGGACTGGGCTGAGCCAATGTGGCTGGTGATGTCTGCATGTGGATGGTGATCCCCACTGTCTCATCCGAGCTCTCATGCCAGAGGAAAAAGGTTAGCGAGTTGTAGGCCACCTGCTCTGCCTAAAACTTTCACTTGAATTGGCAGGAAGAGTAAGTGTAATGGAATTTTTTAAAGGGTTGGGCAACTCTGTTTATATCTGACTCACATTGCATGTAGATTCATGAAATGTAAAGTGATTCCTGGATTAGATACAGAAGAGAAGTGCCTCACATGTCAGGACAAAACTAGTACTATGTGGCATGTTGGTGCTGAGGGAAGGTCACTCAGTTTTGAATTTTTTCTAATTACCCTTCCCACTCGGTATCTCATGCTTTACCTGCGGCAAAGTTGTGTAACACCCTGGGAACGCATTTATGCTTTCCCAGCGAAGGTGCAGAGGAGAGACTGCATTCAGAGCACCCCTCCTAAGTCCTGCACAGCTCAGCCTGGAATATGTTCAGGCAGGACTTTGGGAGTGCATCCAGTGCTGCACAGATATCACTGATGAAGAGAAAAGATATCCAAAGTATTGGTCTCTTTACGCCAATTCAAAGAATTCTCAGTCCACTGGAGAAATGAGAAAAGCAAGAAAAGTTTTTCCTCATTTGGAAACTTCACAGAAGTTCATTAGAACAAGGTCTTTGAGATACAGTGTGCAGTTAAAGTGTTCTGTGAAAAATGTCTTTTTCTGAAGAAATAAAAACTTCAGCAGAACTTCAAATATTTTGCTTGAATTCTAAGATTTCAGTTGCTGATTTAAAAATATATCTTCAGGAAAAGGAGAAAAATTTAGATGAATGTTGGTGTGAAAGAGGATCAACCTTTCACCTAGATTTGTTCTGCACTAATCATGGGAATACAGGCATAAGCTCAAACAAATATGGAAAGGGAGTGGCTTACTGAAAGCCTTATAAATAAAGTACAAAGGTATCGCAATGGAATCTTTAAAATTGGTAGAGCATTTTGTAACCAGGAAAGATTTGGCAAGGATCTCTTATTTACATTCTACTGGATTCAGCTGTTTTTAGCTGTTCATTTATTGCTTTCGGCTGAAATGGCTAAATGCAACCCCACAAGACAACTATTCTTTATTGATTTTAAAATTAATGGGTATTCCTCTTGAGCGTGGTAGTAGAATATCCTGGATTAGAATGTTAAACAAATAGTCTAATAAAGAAATGGACTTTCTTTTCTCTTTTTTTTTTTCTTTTCTCCCTGTTATGGTGTTTGCAAAAGAAATGTACAAAAAATACAAATATGTAAAAAAATCAAGAGCTAAATAGCGTAAAGGAAGGGATGAAAAAAGAGCTGTTATATGTAAACAAGTTTTTACTTTTAATACTGTATTTTATTTAACTTTTCTAGGACTCTGCTGCCGAGTGGCCCTTAATTTACACTTGAATTCAGTGGAACAGCTTGTTTGGAAAAACTACAGAACAAAACTTGGTTTTATGTTACTGGAAAGATGTGTGCTTTCGGTATCAGCAGGCAATCGGAGTTTCTATGGACCTGGTGCTAACAGAGTTATAACAGCATGAAACTTGAGTGATACGGTGATGAATGAGCCTGCAGGTTGGGGGAAACAAAATCATGTGCTTTGGAACAGGATGGTGTTTGGTAGGCAAGGAGGAGGATCCTGCCACTGTATATGGTCACTATTTTGTTCATGTTCTGAAATTCAGGAAGAGCCACACCTTAGACACTTCACGGCTTGACACTGCAGGATGATAACTGACTGCCACTTTGCATGTGGAACAAGCACTCTGATATAATACTCCTGGCTGCACTTGCCTGTTTGCATGTTGCAGCTTGTGTCATGTTTCAAACTTGTGATGACAAATAGGAACCAAATTTCTGCACCTCTGCCCATTGGTATTGATGGACTGGATTTTCTCAGGAGCCATCTCTGGATGGATTTGTGTCTCCAGAACAACTGCTTATTTGCATTAATAAATAGCCTAGTGTTATGACTAATTAATATCTTTATCTGTTACTTGAGTCTTTATGCTTTCTTTCCTTTGATAAAGACAGGAAGACCACAAGTTCTCTGAAAGCCAATGAGAAATGCCCATTGATAGAGTGAAATGAAGGATTCACCTCTGTTGCTAAGCACAGGCAGAAAAGCAGATAGACAAATGAATTAAGTGGGAAAGAGGAACAGAGGCTGCGTCTCTTGCAGGAAATGAATTATTATGTAGTAGTTTACCCTTAAAGCTTAATTATTTTAATTAGATATTACATATATATCTGCCTTGCTCTTTAAAAGTGGCCTGGAGGACTTAAGTTGTTGCCATTTTCATTAGAGCCTGGCAGATGCTTAGGGTCCTGCATGCCCCAGCAGGCACTCTGGCTGCTCCTGAGCTGGGGCTTTACTCTTCCACAGGCCATGAGCGTGGCATTGATAATGGCCTGAAAAGACGGCCTATATTCACCAGTCATACTTCCCACGTTAATCACAGCATGACTGCAGGAGGAAGTAGAAGGCTTATCTTCCATTTTGCACCTCCCTCCTTAATGTCTGATAGTCCCAGTTACACTTGGCCTTACAGGAATCTAGGAATGGTGCTCTGTTGCTGTGATGGACCCTGACTCCATCTCCTCAGCGTGTGTTGAATGCCCACAGTAGGCCTTGGAAATAGTAGGCTTCTCTCTCTGAGATCAGAGCTCAGAACGTATGTGTGTAAAAAGATGGGCAAAACATTTCACCAAAACTTGATTTTACTCTGATGCCAGTCCTGCAGAGAGCAGCCTAAGGAGATGGAACTACTTCTCTGGGAAATATTCTCAAGTGACTTCTTGCATTACCTAAATGATGATACACATAATCAGCTTAGTGATTTTATTTTAGGCTGAAAGGTTATTTCTGTATAAGCATATATGGAAATGCTGTCCAGTGCTAACAGTCTATCCTAGAGGGCTTATGTAGTCCCTGCACTTCAGACTAGCACCTTTATTCGGGTTTTAAGTGCATCTAAAGAGCTCTGATATAGATTTGTGAGACAGAAGCAAAACCATACATATGAGGCCAACTTCAAAAGTTCCTTCACATCCAAAGAGTATGGGGGTATAGGAATACTGAGAGCACAGGCTGCATACCTACTTGTGGGACATGGACTAGCAGGGTCATGAGTTGATTTCATGGTCTGTGTGAGTTCCTAATTTATACCTGCATGGAGCTCAAAGACATCTTCCCTGCTCAAAATTCCAGCAAAGCTCTTTTTGTCCGGTTACCCTGCCTTTGCAATATCGTGTTTCCCAGGGCATGTCCAGCCAGCTTGGATCAGAAATGCTTTTTGCAGTAAACATTCCCATCATCACCGCTGGCAGTCCTCCAATTGAGTTTCAAGTCTTGGACTACACAGCTTGACTGAATTTCTTTAGCATGAACATAATCCTGTCGGTGTTCTCCCAGAGCACACCTAATGGTACACAGGGTCAGGACAGAGCTCTTCTGAAGGAAATCTACAGTTGCACAAGGTGTGCCTGCTGGAACCTTGAGCAGTGACTCTCTGGTGCTACAAAACTGCTTCTCTTGGGACTCAGGGCTTGCAGACAGAAATCTTCTCTTTGCTTTTATGTTTTTTTCCAATTCCGATAGCTCCCTTCCAGTCTGTTCTGATTTCTGCTTGCATTCTTCAAATCCTTCTTCAAAATCTCACTTTACAGTTTTCTTCCATTATCAATTTCCACTCATGAGCAAGTTAGCTCTGAACCTAGGGGAAACATGAAGTAGAACACAGGTGGCTCAAAGGCACAGGCCTGGTGTCTCAATTGTCTGGGAAGAATTACCAAGCAAGACAAAGATGAAGACTGGGCTGTTATATAGAGTTTTTCTCTCTATATCCTGTTCCCAGTCCTCACCAGCCTCAAGAGCTCCTCTCCCAGCTGGATGAATGTTTTCATAATTTTTTTCAAATACGTGTATTTTATTAAATTTAAAAGGAGCTAGTTATAAATAGGATACAGCACTCTGGGCTGAGATCTCCTTTAGCCAATGTACACATAGAAGGGTGTGTATGCAATTCTCACTGTCCTGCATGACCAAAGTGTACATATTTTTGCTGATGGAAAAACAGCTAATGTAGTGAGGTTGAAGGTGGTTGCAACCCAATTTCTGCTTCTGAAATGCTGGGGTGCATTTAATCTTGTGCATGTGAGTGGTCTGGGTGTATGTGGCTTAATTCTATTCTTAGGGACTTTCAGGGGAACAAGGTGCTTGACTGCTTAAGGACAAGCATGTGCACATAGAGAAAGAATGATTAAACTTGGCTGTGCAAAGGCCTCCTCCCTTCCCTGCTCCATCTCCCCCCACATCTCCTCTCCAAAAGAGCATTAAACCACTTCCAAACTGCTCATGCATTTGGGGATTATCATGCTCTGGGGATTGTAATTATTTGAGATCTGTATACTTCCCAAGTTCTGGAGGCAATTATCATTTGGCCTTATCCTTCAAAGTGTGCTTGCAGAATGTGGAGCTCTAACAACTGTGCCTCTGAGATATTCCTTACATAACTCCCAAGTTATGAAAATACAGTGTTTAATTTTTACAGGCAATGAGACTGCTTGGTCTATTGTTTCCTGTTAAATTCACCACACCAAATTCCATCCCATGGGAGCTGAAGCCAGTCAGTAACTGAGATGAGGATTTAGTCCATTCTTTTCTGTCAAAATTGGGATATTTCACATATCTGATAGTGCATCTGTTAAAGGAACAAATTCCTGTACAGTGTGTTGGCCAATTCTGTATTAAACTCTCACCTTACATGTGTTCATGTTCCCATTCAAACTTGTCAAGTTATTTAACTTATAAAAAAAAAAAAGAATACGTGTTTTTTCTGTACTCATTGATCTTGTCTTTTGATGCCATGCCCATTATGCTACAATGCATCTGGAAAATAGCCCATAATTTTTTCTTAAGGCAGGAAATAGTATTTATGGCTGTACAATAATATTTTAAAGTATATATGATCAAAAGATTGCAACTTCATTTTCAAATCAAGTCCAAACAATAACAGAAGCTACCAAGCTACTGTGCTTTGTTTTCTACTCCTCAGAATATCCCTGGAATTCTACCTTCATTATGTATACTTTCCACACTGCATGGTTTGGGGTCTGAGCAGATGTACTACAGCCTGAGAAAGCACAAAAAGAAGTGTGAAATAAAAAAAACAAAACAGAAATCAAATATATCTGTGGGGAGTAGCTTTAATTAATGGAACTCTGCCTATATGTTGTCCTAAAAGGAGCATTATGTTGAGCAAAGGTGAACAGAAATACTTGTAGTTCCTATAAGTTACAAGTTACATGATTTCCAGCAGTTGAGTTCAGGATGGTTAATCAAGCAACATTTTTTCCTTTTATTAAAGAGTGCAGTTCATTGCCACTCTGCATTTTAGAAAATAATGGATAGCAATATTCAGCAATTCATTGTGAAATTTCAGGTAGGTAACTGGCAAGCAGCAGTGTCTTGAGAGACTGTAGCAATGAGTGCAGAAAAAACATCAGGTTGTGAAGAAATCTATGGTTCTCCATGCTTATGAAAACCAGTGGAAAGCAGAACTCTTACATCACTGTTGTATATATATTTTTTCCCCTGTAACATGCTTCTTAGTGGCAGTACTTGAGGGTAATGAACAAGTTAATGTAGAGATCTAGTTTTGTATTGACAATCTGGTGTTTTCTTTAATTTTTCTTTTCCTTCTATCAATAAAAATGTGTCATTTTGATTCTACTGGGAGGAGGGTTTCATGCAGGCTTCGCAAGAGTTGTAATTTATTGATAAGCAGAGGAAATTGAGGGAAGCTATCTCTTCAGGATACAGGAAAACCAGCATTAACTCTCATCTCATACTTTCCTACTGATGGTAAAAATCTGTGACTAAACTGAATGCAAGTTGAGTTTGACTTACAGTCAAGTTGTTCTAAAAGGAATTTGGTTTCCTATCTCTTATTTTCTTGATAATACAACATTTACAGTCTTGGAGCAATTTTAAAGTAAGAAATTGGTGCTGTCTGATATCAATAGCTGACTGATGATGCCACAGTTAAGCTATTCCAGTTATGGGAAGCCAAGGGACTGGAGTATCTGGGTTCCCTTCCTCCATGGTGTTGTAGCGACAAGAACATACTCTGCAAGTGCTGCAGGCTTCTCCTTTTCACTTGTATCAGGGAGGAAGATAAAGCAGTGCCCTGAAACTGGGAGCCTTGTTGTCTTTGGCTTCAACTGGCCAAAGCTACCACTCTAATGGTGTGACTGTCACACAGCATGTGCAGGCACAGGTAGGAGCTTCTCCCTGTGATGCACTCCAGAGTCCTTGTGGAAATGAGTGTATCACTGGGGAGGAAGCTGTCACAGGTCTCCTGGAAGCTGATGATCGTAAAAGCCACCTCTGTCTTAGAACAAATGTAAAAATCCTGGAAAGATAGAGGGGCATGGCCGTGGCACAGTCCATTCAAGGCCATCTGGGAGGTAAGATGGATCACTTCTATCTTCAGAAGAGGATAAAAGAAAGGAATGGGGTATGTCTGGGTGTGAGCTGGATAAAATTGTGTGTAGGCAGTGCAGCTGGGATACCACAAAAGGAGGCAGAGACCACTGGAGAAAGCCAAGAATGGTCAAATGAGCTTCAGTAATGGGGCCCTAGAAGGGGAAAAAAATAACAAGGAAAAAGGTCATGCTTTTTGGGTGAAGTGCTGGCTAGTGAATAAAAGGCTTGGAATAAAGAGCAAAGAAATTCCTTCTTGCTGTTTGATGGTTGTGTTAAGAGAAATACAATCTAATGCCCATTTTCAGTAAATAAACAGGGTTGCTACCCTGTTTGTACACAATTCAATCTTCAGTTTCCTCAAGAAAAACAATCAGAACACTAGCTAAGAACTGGCCCAAAGGGGTAATAGTAGCCTCTAATGGGAATAAATAGAGGGTAGGCGGCACTCTTTCAACACACTCTTTGAAGAGCAAGCTGAATACAGCCCTTAA